TCTTCTGGTGCAGAATCAGAAAGTTTTTATCAACCACCATTACATATTAGAGAGGCGTTTCGCTTCATTTTATAATGGAAAATGATTAGAAGGCATACTTATAGCTCTTGGCCGGGAAACTACATCGGAAATCTTGAAGAGGTAGTAGTTATCATTGAGGTGAAGATATAAAAGTACAATTCCACAACAAAGTACAAAAATATCAACACCAACGTCTCAGAGGTTTATAGAAGTAATGTGTAATGTTTCAATTTCCCTATGAGAGACAAAAATGAAAGTTGAACTTATCCATTATAATCTAACGACAATCACATCCACTAGATTAATAAACAAAGTAAGATATCTTATTCCGCTATGTGCCATTTATCTGGAGAATAACAATCATCGTGGAAATAGAAGGTAATCATAATCATACAAACTACAGAAATTAAAAACTGATGGTAAAGCCCCTTCATAAATATTGCGAAACATAAGAAAAATACATTATGAACCTCATAGAACAGGTTCATCGAAGTTTTAAGCGACCTATGGCGGCAAAAACATTTAAGATCGCAGGGTGACTCAAGAAAACATTTTGAAAATATAAATATATGCAAATAGACCGTAATGTCAAAATATACAATGCGATAGTACGTTTAATGATAAGTTACAAAACAGAGATTAGAACAGAAACACAGGGAATAGAGCAAAAACTAAGAACGGCAGAAATGAAGTTTTTCAGATCGATGCTAGAACTTCCTTTATACGTCCAACAAATAAACAGCAAACAAGACATTGGCAAATGGGCCAAGGAAAAGAAGCGGTAATGGATGGTCAAGATGTGGACAGAATAGCGGAACTCCGCATAGTTAACATATGCAAACACTCCGCGAGGAAAAAATAGTAGGAAGACCACCGAAGAAATGGAAGCAATCGTGGCAATCATCCGTTGAATAGCATGATGAATATTAAAATAAGAATAAATGTAGAACATGTAAACGATGTGCAGAAATAATAACTTTTAATTGATAAGATAACAATATTTTCAAATAAAGATCACGTGTATGATGGAAACTTATCTCACTCCCAACGAAGTATTCCAAATTACGGATTTTAATATTTACTCATCCGATCGACCATCATCCACTGTTGCAGGAGGTGTAGCAAATCTAATCGAAAACCAAATGTAACAATGCCAAACCGATGCAAATATCATCGCCCTAGAATCAATCGCAACCCAAATCGACAACCACATTCCAAATAATATTTACAGTCACAAACAATTAATCAAAAATCTGTTGGAGTCTGATCTCGCTACTACACAATCCCAACTCGATGTTGCTTATTGATGGCTTTAATAGCAAAAACCAACTTTAGGGTTATAGTAGAAGTAACCAATCTGTAGTGGTACTTGTGCATCTTAGTATTTTTTTGACTTATACTGTCTACATTAATATAATATTGCTAGTTATACTTCATCCCTCAAAAGTTACTCAGGTAAAACTCAGAGCACTTACCAGTAACCATTTAATAGTAGTTATATCTATAACAAAGCCTTATAAGAAAACTTCTAAATAATCTTTTAATATGCCAAAACACGTACTAGATTTAATGTCCCACGAGCTAGATGTTGATAGAATTAATAACTACAAAACTAAACGATAAAGGAAACACTTCAAATACACTCACCACAAAGTCTGTCTTAAAAATCGGAATGGTGGCTAAAGATTTTCATATATTTCTAGTATTGCTCTATCGTAAAAATAGTTCTATAATGTATACAGAGACGATTAACATGATGACATTGTCGTTATGGTCAAAGGAACCTGTTTGTCGAGGATATCTAAAGTCCTCCAGGTGACCCTAGATACCATTTGCGCTTGGTGTTAGGGAGAGAACCTCTCGATAAACCCGCAAAAGACAGTTGTTGTGCCCTTCACCAGGAAACGAAAGTTGGATAGACTAATCCGCCCAACTATCCAAGGTGAAGAAATTCCTTTCTCAAAGGAAGTCAAATATCTAGGAGAAGTCCTAGACAAAACCTTGTCATGGAATGGACATTTGCAGGAAGTTTTGCACAAAGCTAGACTATCCTTGTGGACTTGTCGCAGTCTTTGTGGAAAAAATTTTGGTCTTACCCCTGAAAGACTGTACTTGTAATGACTGAAAGACTGTAGTCTATATAATGTAATGTAATACAAAGACGATGAAAATTAAAAGTAACTGAATAGAGTGGGATAACCAATCACTTTTGATTACTATTAAAAATTCAATTGTAAAAAATACACAAGAAAGATGATATGAAGATAATAATTACCTTGATCTGTGTTATTCATTAATAAGCAATTGAGATGCAAAAACCAAATACTCAATAGCAATTAAATTAAATAGCAATTAATCCGTATGGCAGAAGTCGTTGTGCTAGGCATCAAAACCTCGCGATCTAACTACAACCCCTCTAGGTGTTGCTAAGAAATTTGCTACGGTCTAGGTTAATAAACATAAATTTAATCTCCAAAAATCTGGTATCACTCATCGAGCACTAGACAGATCTTAGCGCGTGTACATCAAGGGAACTTGTCCTCCATTTTATTTAATATCATGATGTATAACATTTCTTTTAGGGCAAACTTTGATCTTGTCATACACGCAAATGATAGAGCAAATAAGAATTTTGATGCAATTCAAGTATTGCAAAGATCGACCAAACAAAAAAAATAGAAAGATAAATAGTTGAGAAAAAGTCTTAGAGTCTCAAAGATAATACCATCAAATACTTGAGGGTCTACCTAGATTGACGATTCACATGGACATATTACATAAACTGTAAAAGCAATCAAGTACTCGTCCTATTACTATACAAGTGCTTCCTCAATCTTTTCTTCGTGCTCAGTGTGAGCAATATCTCAGCCTCTAAGTTGAAGAAATAATAAACACATCAACATAAAATATTTTGCATTTCAGTGAACACAAAGATTTAATGTTTCTTCAATAATGATCAGTTTTCAATGACATTCACAAATATAGTACGCTACAGCACAAAAAGGGCATTATTAGTGTTGTGTTTAATAAGCTTTTGTTAAAATGTTTGAGCAAATCATCATCAACATTTCATATGTACATCCACTCTGTGTGTTATTCAAAGTGATGTTATGAAAAGTGTGGTAATGCGTTGATGTAAGATTGGGAAATAAGGGTGGCCAAGAAGTTAATACCAAATCTCATTATATGCATATCTCTATTTAAATACTGATGTACTTCATTTTGCCGAAGCAGTTTTTATATTTAGCATAACTCTTGAATTATTGATGCCATAATAGTACTACTCTGATCACTTGGATTGATTTATTCTTCGGAAGTACATTAAATCGTTACAAATTATAAATATCGTGTGTACTCTCTAATACAGAAAACGTTTTATACTGAAATCGCCATTTTGCACTCTTCCCGGATATCTAACAAGAAGTTCGTAGGTACGGTTTAAAGTTTACAAAGTTCATTCACTTTTCTCTAAGTGAATGTTCCTTGTTACAAAATTTTGTTATGTATTGAAATCATTGTAAGAGCTTCGTAAAAATCTTAAACTGTGTAAAAAGTTATGATATTCTCAAAAAGCTCACGTTCAAGCTTTATTCATGTTTACAGGTGATTAATCACTTGAATTCACTTGATAACTTTAAAAAAAAGATATAAGTAAGTCGAATAGAAAAATTATTAAATTCGAAATCAAAAAAGAAGAAGAAATTTTTTTTACGTAAAACATCGTTCTTAAAATATTTACCTTGTAAAGAGAATATCATAAGAATGAAAGTCAATAGGATAAAATGCAACTTTTAACTTTCGAAGTTCTAAAACACTTTTCTCATAGCCCTTCAATAATTAAGTGATTCATATTTATTCAATTAAATTTAATTTGTAGTTTTAATGTTACGAACTTTATCCCAACGTATTAAGTACGTAAACAGAATTGTCTCCTAAACAGAAATAACATTTTAATGGGGATTTTTTACATCATCTTATAAAGTTTTCAAGATTTCTTTAATCCTATTTCGCAACTTCATTTTTGAATGAATAAGAAATTATAAATATCTGTACTATTGTTATGACAAAGAGCAACAAGTATTTCTTTCTCGTTAAAGATTGATCTATTTCTCTACGTTTTCCCTGTAGAGTTTCTTTCTTTATTTATTTCTTTTTTTTTATGCAGTACCTGTCCGGTATCTGTGGAAACGAGTCGCGACGACGACGACGGCGACGAGAAAAAGGAAAAAGAAGTAGGGAAAAACTCGGTTCCTCTCTCCGGTCCTGTTGTGTCGTACATGACAATGTCTAGGGCTTACCGGGGCCCAGGACGAGCACTCGTTACCTGGGTGACGTCACAAAGGATATGTTGCCGGGCTACGCCGAATCCTTAGTCCTTTCAGGGAGCATCAAACCAATCGCACAGCAAAGTCCTGTCGGAAAAGACCAATTAGTTTTTAATCGGGGGAACGAGGAATAAGTTGCGGACCGATTGGAAAAGTTCAGTCCTCATCTTGGCTCTTTTCCTCGATACTCGATATTAAAGTGTGTATGGAAGGCGTACAAAGAGATGCCTCTTGTATTAAATTATTCGCATTTTTCTATCGCGTGGAGAGCTTTTTCACGTAGGCGAGGTTTACGACTTATGCCTTTGTTGCGGTTTTTAATAAAGAAGCTGATTGAACGTTGGTTTCGAACACGCATCCAAAAAAATCATCAAATTTTCAATTGGGCATGTTCTACTTTATGCGGCGAATAAAGAATTTTATGATCGCATTTTATGAGCGGGTAGGAGAGATAATCTTTATGGTTAGAAATTCTCTGGATGAAATTAGCTGGGTAGATGATGATATACATAGTCAAATAGTTACAATGTATAAAGTGTTTTATCTCAATTATTTTAATTCGATAAAATCATGCCGCTTTAAACTCACTATAACCCATATAGCAAGGTACTCATCTAACGAAAATCGATTCTAACGATAATTTTATTATTTCAGGGTTCCCCAACGACGACGGAGTTGAAGCCCTTCCTTTAATGACGATCCGACTTCGACGTCGACGTCACGACGCCGCAGGCCCCCAATGTCCTAGCTTTCGCAGCAGCCGGTATGCTAATGGCCCTAGGAGCTGTTGAAAAACCCTGAAAACTTCAACCGGGAGCTCAGTGTTAATTTCGTCCTGAAACCGAGCGGTGTTTCGCGATGACCTACTTTTTAAACCTACTTTTTCAAGAAATTTTTCACTACAGAAAAATATTTTCCCCAAAACCTATGAGATTTTTTTTTAAATTTTATTTCCGTTATTTTTTGTATATTATGTGTTCGGCGGGGTTGAAATTGACCGATGAAAGTGACCGTTGGCCGGTTCTGGCCAATCAAATCGGGGTACATAAACGAAGGGATACCGCCCCTAAAGTCCTTTCGAGGTTCTCCCTCCGGCGTCAAAGCGCATATGGAGGGGTGAAAATCCCCCGAGTCCTGCAGGAACGATCCTGACCCGTGTCCGATGACGTCGCATCAAGATTGGATGTTGGCGCGACCGAGTGTTGGGTTGGTATTTTAATTAAATGTCAGAAAGTAAGTGTACGAAGGGGAGAAAATGTATTATATGACAGTCAAGAAAAAAAAATAATAGTATGTTATTCTTCGTTATATAAGAATGTAAAGTTTTATTTGCATATATGTAGGGTATAATCTCGATATAACGGACTAATACGGGGAAGTGTACGTTAGAACCAAAAGTCCGTTATACGAAAAATTTTTAATTTGCACTTCAATTCGAACTGCTATCCACACCGTTGCGTTATGTATTAGTTTGTTCTACTTTTTGTTTAATAAAAATATACAACAATCAAGCACTGAATAACAACCAAAACTAGAGCTAACACTAGCACTAGAACTAACGCTAGATCTCGAACTAGAAAGTTTCAGGTTTAGCCACGCGTCTTTTAAGACGGCTAAAACTGAATGTTTCTAGTTCTAGGTTTATTGTTAATTCTACTTTTCGTTCAATAAAAATATACAACAATCTAAAGTTGAATAACAATTAAAACTACAACTAAAACTAGACCTAGAAATACTCGGGTTTAGCCGTGCGTCTGAAGAAGCACGGCTAAACCCGAAACTTTCTAGTTATAGGTCTAGTGTTAGTTCTAGTTTTAGTTCCATGAAAAATATACAACAATCTAACGCTGAATAACAGCAAAATCTTGAACTAGTACTAGAAACATTCTTGTTTAGCTGTCTGAAAAGACGTACGGCTAAAACCGAATATTTCTAGTTCTAATTTTAGTGTTAGTTTTAGTGCTAGGGTGAGCTCAATCAATTGAAACTAGAACTAACACTAGCACTAGATATAACACTAAACCTAGAACTAGAAACATTCGGGTTTCAACAAACACGAAAGTTTCTACTTTTAAGTTTAGCGTTAGTTATAGTGCTGGAGTTAATTAAATCAATTAAAATTGGAACTAACAGTAGCACTAAATCTAACACTAGTCCCAGAACCAGAAACATTCAGGGTTAGCCATGCGTCTCTTAAGACGGCTAAACCCGAAAATTTCTAGTTCTAGGTTTAGTGTTAATTCTACTTTTCGTTCAATAATTTTCGTTTTCAAATTTTGAATTTGGAAAAAAAAACACACAACACTTTCCAAAAATTTTCTAAAATTAACATCTACACCGGACTTTACAAAACCAGTTGTACATAACACTAAACACAGAATCGTTACCAACTCACACTTATCGTTTTGTCGTCCCAAACGTTTAGACGTGCACAAACACAACATTGCAAAAAAAGAATTCGAACAGATGGTGGCATTAGGAATCTAACGACCGTCTTCTTCTTCTACATCGTCGCCTCTTCATATGGTTCCTAAGAAAGATTCCAACGATCGTTATCCTCTTCCGCACGAGGATTTTAATCTACATTTAGATAACTACAACATTTTTTCAAAATTACATCTGGTAAGAGCGTATCACCAAATTCCTGTAGAAGAAGACGATAATCCTAAAGCGGCTTCGAATTCACGAAAATGCCTTTTGGTTTACGTAATGCTGCACAAACCTTTCAAGGGTTCATAAGCGAAGTTCTTTCTGGCTTAGATTTCCTTTTCGTATATCTAGTTGATATTCTAGTAGCCAATCGCAATGAAGAAGAACATTATCTTAATTTACAACAATTGTTTCAAAAGTTAAGCTCTTGCAATATCAATATACAACCAACAAAATTTGTTTTTGGAGTTGCAGATTTAAATTTCCTAAGTAATCAAATTTCTGCTAAAGGCATTCGCCCTTCGCAATTTAAGATAAATACCAAAACTGAATTTGCAAAACCTACCACACTTAAACAATTACAGCGATTCTTAAGAATGATAAATTTTTATCAAAGATTGTTGCTAATCATGACAAACATTTTAGCTACTTTCACAAAAACTTAAATCAATCACTTCCTAGACACATCATCACGATATTTCTTTCGCTACAGCCAAAGAACTTTTATCAAAATCCGTCACTCTGCACACCCAACACCATAAGCTACTTTTTCGCTAACGACAGACGCCTCAAGTAAAGGCATGGGAGCAGTTTTATCACAGACTATAGATAATAAAACACAACCTTAGCATTCTTCTCTCAAAAATTATCTTCAAGCCAAATAAATTATTCAACTTTTGATAGCGAATTGTTAGCAATTTAAGCTAGTATCAAATTCTTTAAACATTTTTTGCATGGACATCAATTTGTGGTTTACACTACCATAAACCACTAATCAACACAATTCTTTCTACCACACAAAAAACTCCATATCAAACACGATATCTTAGTTACATAACACATCAGATATCAGGTACATTAAAGGAGAATCAAACATTGTAGCGGACACATTGTCCAGAACAAATATTAATTCTCTAAATTCGCAGTACCCTGACACACAAACTTTAAAGAACGCACAATTTAATAATACAGAATTAACACATTTACTAAACAAACAATACTCAAAGACACAAACTACTAAATATAACCTATCGCAACAAACAACATCACATTCAAATGTAAAGCTTTGGTACGACCTTTCAATAAACAATCCTCGAACATACATACTACAAAAATTTCGTAAAACAATTTATAACAAATTTCACAACATAACACACCCCGGTATTCGCGCTACTACACACATCATCAAAACACAATTGTTTTAGCCTCACATGACAAAACACATTCAGTTATGGACAAAATCCTGTTTGCGATGTCAACAAACAAAAGTTCACAAAATCACCTATTAGCAACATTCCGATACCAAAATTAAGATTTGATCATATCCACATTGATTTGGTCGGTCCTTGGCTGCACATATGTGCTCACCCGTAAAAGATCGTTTCACGCATTGGCCAAAAGCTTTTCCTCTCAAATATATTAGTTCTACTTCTATTACAGACACTTTGTTTCAGCATTATTTCAGCCGATTTGGTATTCCAGCACTCTCACCCATGATCAGGGACAACAATCCGAATCAAAACTATTTTCAAAATATCACACTCTTCTAGGAACACGTCAAATTCATACATCCACCTTCCATCCCCAAATTAACGGAATTTTAGAAAGATTTCACCGTTCTTTAAAAACAGCCATCACTGCCAGAGGAAACACTACGAGGTGGAACAATGATCTTCCCTTGGTTCTTCTGGGCGTCAGATCATCTCTTAAGGAAGACCTAGGTTGTTCGTCTGTCGAACTGGTATATGGTCAACCACTTAGGCTTCCTGGAGATTTTTTTATTAATAATCAACACCCTTTGGAATCTGATCCATTGCTATCTAGTTAGCAAGATACAGAATGAATGCATTTACTCAACAAATAATACTCAAACACACAAACTACTAAAAATAACCTATCGCAACAAACAACATCAATCAATTAAAACTAGAACTAACGCTGGACCTAGAACTAGAAACATTCAAGTTTAGCTGTTTCAAGAGACAAGCGGCTAAATCCGAATGTTTCTGAATTTCGAATGTTTTTGTTCATTGCAGATATACAACATTCTAGCGCTGATAAAATAATTAAAACTAGAACTACCGTCCTTAATTTATACATCATGTAGACAACTCAGGGAATACCCCGAATTTATCTATGAACATAGAATAAAGCAACTTACTTACATTTATATGTAAATATACTAATGTATTAAATAGATTATATTAATTAGTATGACTTTAAAAATATTTTGTTCGTTATATCCGAATTCCGTTCTAACGAGGTCCGTTATATCGAGATTTTATTGTATTTATTTTTATTTTGTTATATTTTTTTTATTTAATATATTTTATTTTTTGTTTTGGTTTTATTTATAATTTCCTTATAAATGTTATAGTATTTTTTATCTGAAACGAATATTATTTAAAATAAAATTAAAGAAATGATTTTTAACCATTTTAGACAAAGTTAAAAAACTGAAATAAAAAGTTTAGTTAGGAAAGGAGGAAAATTCTTAGAAAAAATGATCAAACCCAAGGGAAATAATGCAACAGCTGCCTTCTTTCTATGTACATCAAGCTTTTTGAAACTTTTCATTCCGTCTACGATCAATTGAACAAATCAAAAAATTGTTTTAATCTTTTTCAACAAATTTTATTTTTTGATTAATTCATAAACCAAATCTTTATTCATAAATCAGTTTAGAGATTTCCTTATTCCTCTACATTCCATAGATGATTTACTTAAATCATGTTCATAGCATACACCCATGTCCTTATTGTGCGTAGTAGTACCCAGGTTCATTTACAAAACGTTTTCGGGGAACGTAGGGATCAAAATTCCAACAATTAATCTTAATTCCCTGAGCATGTCTCCTTCACTCCTTCCTTCCAAGACTGGCTCCGACGTTCAACATTCTTCATTCCACCTCCACCTATTTCGAGGCGAGGGTTCTTCCATGTATTGAATTGTTTTGTATACAGCTATACCTAGAAATACGCGGATTTCTATATAACTCCTTTCGATGTATGTGTGTGTGTGTGTGTTGGGCGTGCATGTTGGAACCGGGACGGGAGTCGAGTGGAAACGAGAGTCAGGCGTCGACCGACATGCCAGAACAGGTGCGGCCCGGTATACAAACCGCACGATATGCCAGTCAAGTAGTAGTTGGAACCATTGTAAGGTCCCGTTCTCATCTAATTAACGATTGCCGCTCTGACTTCGGGCATTCGCGCGAGAGACTTATCGCTCTTACGCTCATTAGGGCAGGATTAATCCATCAAGGAGGCGCCCGGCTTCGGATCGTCGGGGGGATGAAGGCGGCCGTTTTGGGGGTGGAGGCCCCGCACGTGAACGATTGGGGCGGTCGCACTACCAAGCGCTATGACAGCCATAGTTTGCATCTATTAAAATAACATTAAGATCTAATCCTATCTAAATCTCGCCCCTTTTTGGCTTAATTAACAAAGATTTTTATAATCTTAATTTTATTTCCCCCAAAAAAAAAATTACTCCATCCACATAGCTTAAAGTAATTTATGGATAGATTTGTCATTACTCGTCATTATGCATAGAAGACAAGCAATCGTCCATTGTTGTCGAGGTTGTCTCACGATTTAACATCTCCGGAGAGGTCGTCGCAGACACACACGCGTAATGAAGAGATTACCGCACATGTGGCCTCCTCCGAAGCGGTCTCGTTCATCGTAGTTTCCCCCCTCGAATCCGTCTCCCGGATTCCTTCCAACAGCGGCGCTGATTGGTAAACAAAGAGGCTCCGCAGCCGCCGTTCCACACGACATAATAGCGAGGTGTTTTTACGCGGAGGCCTGTTTCGGACAGGTTCAGATTGAGTGGGGCCAAAACTGACGGCTTCGCTGTGGGTACGTT